GGTAATTTGAATAAATTTTGCATTTATTTCCTTCTTTTCCTCAGATGTCAATATAAGTTTTGAAATCAAACTTATCTTTTTTGTTCATTTGTATGTAGACCTGACTTATATATGTACAGAATCATATTTTTTGTCACTTTCCTCAATAATAATTTCCATCAACTCAATAAATGTATTTCTTTTCCCCCTCATAATTATTGTTTCCCGAAAGTAGTTATTTGAAAGTAGATATTTGTCTTCTGTGCAAAATAAGTTTTTTTATGTTATACATGTAGTTTTTTTCCTTCCTTTGATATGATTAATCTCTTAAACATAAAAAACTGAAATCTCTTGTTATTCTTTAAGAAATTATCAACTCACATAAAAGGATTGACTTCACAATACCCTTATATATATAAATAATATTTAATCTGCATTTTAATCTTAATCATCCCCAAAAGATACAATTTTAATTTTAAAGCGCTACTTTAAAACTTAATTCCATTTCAATAATACAACAGTTTTGCTAACAAATCCTTTCCCAACAATGTTCCCAGAAGCAACAACATATCGTAATATTAATCATCAATTAGTACACTGCTGGTTTTGTTTTTAAAATAACAATAATAATATAAATAGCTTTTGTGAGGATTAGAGAGAATGACCAAGTCACTTTTGGTGGATTAAGACCCAAAGATTATGAAATATATATAAAAAGAGTAATGTTCCTAAGCCAGCGATGTCAATGGTGATTATAAAAGTTATGTCACATGCTTTGTTAATAATGGATCATATATGTGTATTAAACAGGGATTTATCTGTATGTAACTTCCCAAAACATTCCAGTTATATTATTTACAGAGATGACTAAATAACTGGAATAGGACAAAAATTCCTCCTGGTACTTGTCATCTTATTACTAATTATAAAAATAGAGTTTGACCTATAGTTGTTAACTTTTATGACATTTGGACTCAGGTGGAGAGTTGTCTCATTGGTCATCATACCACATATTCATCTTTTTATATTAGGTTTGTGATGTGTTTTAGAAATAGTGCTCAATATCACTGCACTATAGACCAATTTCAGACAATCATCTTTAAAACAAAATATTTTTTATTATAGATAGTGATTGTTTGATTGACCTATAAGTTAAAGATGAAGATAAAGATGATGATGATTGATTAATTAATCAATTAATTAATTGATTGATTAATTGATTTGTGGTGCAATTAAAGTTAAACAGTATTCAGCCATTACAATGATGGTCAAAACAGCTGAAAAATTGAAGCAATAACTCACAAATTGAGCAGGTTAATGCACTTTAACTTTTTGTGGTTTGATTTACACAATATACAATCTATAAAACTAGACAACTAGTTGGGACAGCTAAAACTTGTTAATGATGCTGTATAACTGGTACCCTAACTGATGGAACAGTATTTATGGTACAAGTCTACCTGCCCAGGACATTGTCTCCCATGCTTTTAAGTTATTTACAGTATGCCAGTATGTTGAAAAGTTTACAATACATGATCATGAAGTTATGAATTGAATCGGAGTAATTACCAGTTATTTAGTTTCAGAATAGACTGAAATTTTATCGTAAATTACAATTTAAATGTTCCTGTTAAAGCATGGCATTGACAACTCTAGTCAACATCAGATTTTATCATACATGGTTAGTTTTAATTTCAATTAAACATGATAAAATCTTTTTGGTTCTTTTACATTCCAATGATTTTAAACGAAATTTATAATTGGTGTCAACTTTCTCCAAAGCCATATGAAACATTGATACTATCCGAATTAAGAAGACTTTATGGCAACATGTTCAAGCTGTATAAACTGTCTTTAGACAAATTTCAATTCCCTTATATTTCACTACTGTAATCGTGTATTTTACCAATAGTCAGATTATTAGATTTTAAAATTTCTTCTACTATAAGTTATTTTCATTTTAATATACCAAACATAGAATGCCTTCATAAATACAGTTCTCACTGCCTCAAGCACTTGACTGAGTCATTATAAAATAGGGCAAACACAAATAAGGTAAATTCAAGGGGAATAACTAAGAAACAAAACATGGATTAAATTTTGATCAGAATGAATCTCAACTTGTGTTCAATGGTTCCTAAAATATTGTATGAAAATTGGAATGACTTTATTCTAAAAAATCAAATCTTTTTTCTGCATAATGAAAGCCAAAACTTAAATACAATACTAGAACATATCCAAGTTCAACCTGGCCTGTGTCAAATGTATCTAATGTAAATGTCTGGGTAAGTTCAGTTGTTAAACAGAAAATTCCGATTTGTCTATATTCTAAATTATCAAAGGGCATAAAACTGGAATGAAAAGTCAATTAACAAAAGTCAATGTCCCTAGCAGCATTTCATTATATGAAATAAGTTGGTAAAAAGCTAATAGATTGGAGACCTTAAATTTGCCTATTATTGCAAGTGTAAGGGCACATAACTATATAATGTATATAACATAATATGGTATGGATTTTGCTCATTGTAGAAGGCTGTACAGTGACAAATAAACATCATTTGGACTCTTGTAGATAGTTGTCTACATTGGCAATCATATCATATCTTCTTACTTTTATATAGTTTAAAAAATACACTTTGGGATTCAATTACACATAGACATGATAGATGTAGAAATTTATTTAGTCCTTTTTTAAGTGTTCCATTCCCATTAGCCTGGGTTAAAATGGAAACAAACATATTGACTTTCTTACTGTTAGAGATCAGAGTTTGATGGTAAACCCATTTAAGACTAGAAAGCTAAATTTTTCTCTCAATTATCATTCCATTACAGTTTCTACAAAGGAAAGCTGAGATATTTTCAAACCATTAACTGAGATCAAAATCATCGGGAAGAGGGAACTGTTTTTATTACTGTATATTGGATATACTTTTTAATAAAACGCAACATAATATATGTTTATCTTCAGAATGAATCTGATACACTTGTGTTTTTATCTTTAAAATCAGATTTAAATTACTAAATGTAGTCGTACCTGATCTTATCATCTCTACAAAGAAAGAACAAAATAAGGGAAAGGGTATCATACAATGGGAAAAATTCAATACTACATTGAAAACATGAAATTGTAACTAATTTCAATTGTACACAAAATGCAATTACAAGTGCACCATTGGGCGGTAATGAGATCTTATTTCGGTTAAACTGATTAATAAGTTGATAACGTTTTATCCTTTCTTTAAAAATCATTTTACTATTTAATAGATTTTGTATCAATTCCAAAATCTGTCTGAATTGTTCGATATATAAAACTAACAACATTTAATCCATGAGAATTTTACGATTAAAATTTAAATAATTCCATTCTTGCTTAAAAAATGAAATTGTGTAACAAAGAGAAAAAAACCTGCATAATAATGTTTTTGTATTTCCCACAAAAAAACCCTCAGAGAAAATTAAGTTTACTCAATTTTCTTTCTCAATGATGCACATGAAAGGTCAAAACAGACAAAGGCAATGAAGAAAAAAGACACTTCAAACAGCAGTATCATACAAGATGACATCTCTCTTTTATTCATGACTTTTCCTGTCTTTTTATCTTATTTGGAGAACAGCAGCTTGTAAGATATATCAACCAAAGTAGCACCCTTAATTCAGATAAATAGATCCAGTATTCAACTTTCTCAATACAGATGGGCGTTTCAGACATTCGGACACCCATAGTTTAAGATCCTTTATTATTCTAAACTTTATTCGAGTGGACACAAGGAGTATGGACCTATAGAATTTTAAATAAAAGTTAAATCAGGCAGAAATGTAAGCACAATTCACTAACATAAAAATCATTGTATAAAATACCAAGTAAATCATCCGAAATGTGACGGCAAATTTTTGACAAGGACAAAAATCTGGTAATAATCAGAAACATATCACCAGTCTTAGATGGCAATCTAAAGTTAATTCTGAGCTTAAAAGTGGATGGACAATTTTGTCTGAAAAATGTAATTATCAAATGTGAAGGTCTTTCCTTATGATTACAGTAATTTATATAAATAAAATATATACATCTATGTTGGATAAAACATTATGAACAATTGAATATCAAATTCAACTGTGGACTGAGTATTGTATTTGACCAGTAATCTGCTGAGCACAAATAACCCTCTCTTGGACACTCTCCAGTTGCAATGGAGCCCTTTTATCTCTGGAACTTAAAGGATTGAACTAGCTCAAATCTGATTGAAATCATTTTGATTGAAATGCAGATCTTTATAATGTCCATGCTTTGCTTACAAGTCTTGTAAACCAATTGTGGATAAAGGATCTGGATTTCAATCAAATCGGATTGAATTATGTACATGATGTAGGCAAAAAAATTGAAGGAAGCAAATTCAAAATACATTTCCTCCTTTAACAATGATCATATGACATTATTCAAGGTTACATATTTTGAAAAATACCATAATTTTATAGCTTTCGCTCAACTGTCATGTCTACATTTTTAAGGAATGTCTCCATGAATGCAGGGATCAACTTTACATTTTGTAAAAACAGTTTAATGTGATGTACTTGTTTTTGATAAAGAAACTGTAGATTCTTTGTAGATCCAGGGATTGCAAGAAATTTTCTGAAAGCAAATTTACAATGAACACTTAAATGATAGATATAAGAAGATGTGGTATGAGTGCAAATGAGACAACTCTCCATCCAAGTCACAATTTGTAAAAGTAAACCAATATAGGTCAAAGTACGGCCTTCAACATGGAGCCTTGGCTCACACCGAACAGCAAGCTAAAAAATGACTAGTGTAATGTTCATATTTCAGGATCACAAAATGGTCTGCAATTCCTTAGAATGACTGAACTAAAATTTTGTAGAATTAAGCACCAATATTGATCCTTATATCAAAAACCTAGTCTTTTTAATTGAAATTTAATAACATCCAATACCGATTCAGTTTTGTACAGACTTTTTTAAAACAAATGTTCATAGGTATTTACAAGATGTGCAGTTTAGTTTACCTTTAAAAACAAAAATCTTTACTTTAAACTGTTTTTCTTGATCTTTCTTGAATATCAAATCTAAAAAAAGATATAAAACTAAACTCAATTATCAGATTTCATGGAGGCTACATACATTATGTTTTTTTTAATCAACAAACAAATTAAATTTGACCTCATTTTAGTGTATGACCAATTGGGATGTTGTTGAGGCCATCTGCATTTTCATAGTTTGAGAGCTATTCCTGCGATCTGAATTAGTCATACACATCTATCCTTTATAAAATCTTTATCACTGGTCTGAGTGAGTGCTGGTAACCATGCAGAAGCTTATCGAATATCACTTCTATTTCTTGACAATTAGGGATGTGTGTGGATGGTTTGCAAAAATGACAGTAATAGCAATTTATTTCAATCATTATTCAACAATAAAAATAATAGATTGATTGTTTTTTGGTTGTTTAACGTCCAGTGGCAAATATTTCATGCATGTTCAGGACGAGAACAAATTAACAATTAATACAACAGGTAGGTCCTGTAATAGAAGCCATCTGGGATGAAGGTTGGGGAAATTTGGACTGCCACGGGAAAATGAGGGTATATTGGATAGGGACAGAAATTTAGCCTGGCAACAGGCCACCTACGGACCCCTCAAAGAGTTGTTGCAAGGGTTCTGAACATGCAAAGAGCGTGGCACTCTCTTTATACGAGGCATCTGATTTAACATCCCGCACAGCCAAACGGAGGCCCCACTTTGGCGAGGGTTTTACTGCCAGTCGGAGGAAGACCAATGGCGACCATATTTCTATTCCCCAATCACCCTTCAGGAGTACCATATAAATAAAAGGGTTTACTGGATATACATCAATAAGACAGCAAGGCAAAATCAAAATAAAGTACATACAGACATCTTCAGAATAATATAACTTCTCCATATTTCATGTTTTCTTCAAATGTTCTGTGCTAGATTTTTACATATCCTCACATCATTCACACAAACACTGAATTATTCATGAATTCAATCATACTTTCATTTATCAAATTTTCCTAAAAAAGTGTGCATACATTCATTTTCATGGAGGTATTTCTTAAATGCATTTTGATGTTTTAATGTAATTTTCTTCATTATGCTGTTCAAACCTTTAAAAAAATTCAAATCAATATCTATCTGACGTCTATATTAGAAAGGAATTCAATTTCTGTGTAAATGATAGTTCTTGTTGAAAATGTATTATTATTCATGAATTTAATCTTACTTTCATTCATCAAATTTTCCTTAAAAAAAAGTGTATATTGTAATTTTTATGAAGGTATTTCTAAAACACATTTTAATGTTTCAACATAAAGTTCTTCAGTATGCTGTTCAAAGACAAATCAATGAAAACATTCAACTCAACATTAATCCATTGTCTATATCAGAAAAGAATTCAATTTCTGTGTAAATGATAGTACTTTTGAAAAGGTTATGTGGTAATGATGTTCTAATTAAAAGGGAATCTAGTACCCGGTAATTCTAATCCTCATGAATAATACATAACCATGTATGGAATCCTCAATGATTTCACGCTTATTACAAAAATATCACTTCATTTTCATGTTCAATAAACTCAAAGATCATCAGCTATAATGGAACTACCAATTTAATTTACTAGGCAAATAATATGATTTATACATATAGGGGTGATGTATTGTCATACCAGATGTAAATTCAATGGCAATCAAACAAGATGAATTTTTAATTATGTAAAAATTGAATCATGCACGCCCCTAAAATTAAAATAACTTTATCCTCCATTGCATATACAGATGTCTATAGCACATTGAAGGCATAATAAAGGTTCTGAGGATTGTAAGATTTTCATCAAACTTAGTACAATGGTGCACTATGAAGAGTTGATGACCTTTATTCAATATCAAGAAAAGATGTCAAGGTCACCTGACAGAGCTGTGTGAGGAATTACTTTGATTGTCTCAATTTCTATTTAGAATAAGATATAATATGGAGATGTCTTATAATTGCCAAAGAGACAACTATCCACTAGAGTCCAAAAGAAGTAGATGTAAGCAACTATAGGTCACTGTACGGCCTCCAACAATGAGCAAAACCCATATCGTATAGTCAGCTATAGAAGACCCTGATATGACAAAATGTGAAACAATTCAAAAGAGAACACCTGAAAGGCCTGATTAATGACAAAATAATAAACTAAAAAAAAACCATGATAGATAGAAACCAACAACATCCACTGAATTACAAAATCCTTATTTGGGACAGGCACATCCAGAATGTAGCTGGGTTAAACATGTTTATGAGCACTCATCCCTAAACAAATCTCCAAACTTTTAAGTTCCAAGAAAATCAATAATTCATTCTTTATTACAGAAAATGTGAAAGTCAAGGATGAACAAATGGATGGATGGACAAACAGTACCCAACAGATGGATAAGGTCATTACAGTATACCACCCCTCTGTGAGTTGGGATGTAAAGAAACACAAAATACATGTACATGATAGAAAAAGACTGACCACATGTCACATATTTCAGATGTTAATTTCATTTGAAGACCAAATTTGTAGCCTACAGAACTGACGACACTTTGGAGTCTATCAGGGAATTTTGTTTTCAATTTAAGATAATTATTGTAATGGGATAATCATCTCCATTCCACTTAACATTCAGAGCTGTAATCATTTGTGTTTAAATGTAATAGATTTCAGTAATGTTATTTCTTGTGCCTTATTTGGTTTTGTTGATTTGATTAATGTAAAAACAAATGACATGTGGCTTCACAATTCAATTTCATTCTAAGTTGGTCAAGCAGATTCTTTAGTTGAAAGTCCATGCACATTTTACAGACTTCCGATTCACCCTATTCAAAATTAGCTATCCAAATTTGGTGCAAATATGTCACCACTAAGATTTTAACCACAATTATTTACAACTATTAACATACAAATAAATGTCAAATATCAAACAATTTGCATTGTCATAATTAAGGTCAGGGACATATGATCATTAAACAATGCATTTAAAATTGAAAAAATTATTTTAAAAATATTTTACAGAGGCTAGAAATACATTTATATGCAATCATGAGTTGAATTTTAACATAAGAGTAAATTTTTGCTTAATGTTTATGTTTCTTTCATGGCTTAAATATTCAGAAATACTGGCTTATCAATTATTAGACTTGAAGGCCATCTTTCCACATTTTCAAAAGATTGTTTTATTGCAGAAAATTGAACAGAAAGTGACAACAAATTTTAAATATACACCGGTCTTTTTCTGCTGAAGACTTTATCTTTACATCTAGGTGTTTTGTGGCACTGGGTTGCTGTCTCACTGAGGTAATATTGCCCCACATCTCCTTCTATTCATAATATGGTCAAATCATAAGGAAATGGTTTGGACATTACACAAATTTCAAATCTATTATTTAGAATACAGCCACTAGTGTACAGGTGGTCAATAAGACAGCAACCTGAAACAAACATTCAAGAAGGCACTTTTTTACCTATAGCATTCATTATAGACAGAAACCCTATTAGGATTGAGAGCCCTACTATGACAGCTGTACAAAGCGTCTCCTTCTATCACCTTATCCCTAATAGGTTTAATGTGCAGAGTTTTTTTTCTAATTAAGCCTCGAACTAATAATTTCCATTTCAATTATGTTCACCTATTTTATTGAAAAGTTCAACTTCATACTGTTGAACTGTGGGTTAGCAGCCAAATAAGGAATAAAGTCCAGCTCTGAATAATACAGGGGTAACTCATTTTCCAGTCCTGTTGATAGTAGACAGCTATGCCAATATTCACCAAAGGACAAACTATGATGTAGTCTTTAATCTAACAAGATATTTTTTAACTGTATACAAATAAATTATGAACATAAACCTTTCATGTCTGTATAACTTATTAATGGCTATTTAGAACTTACTTGACAAACAAATAATCTGTACTTGTCATTGTTATAAATTTGTTTTTTGTCAATTTAATGTAAGGTGAATAGCCAGATATATTTTCCTCGCTTTTGTACCAAAATTTTTTTCATTTTCTTAATTTTTTTCGTACATTCATTTGATGTTTTTATAAATGAAAAAGCAATTATGGTTGAAATTAAAATTTCATAATTGTTCATCAACTGGTCCGTTTTACTCTAATGTATTTTGTTAATGGTACATCATCATTTACAAATCTATCCTTTTTATATCAAATTATTCTTGAGATAAATAGGTTGAAACATTAAAAAAAAAACCTATATGGTTGAGAAAAAAACTTGTGTGATGGACAACATTAAATCTAATGAATGGAAGACCCTGAGCATTTGATTTCACATTTAAATTCTTACATTACAATTATGATTCATGCAGACAATTAAAACTGGTTTCTTGATATCTTATGTCAGAGTCAATCTTTTATCATCTTTACTCATTTGAACACAGCTTGTAAAAAAACTTGCATGTCCAAAAGGATAAAAAAAAGATACAATAATGCTAATTTGACCTTTGAAGATCTAGATCTTGCATCTGATCTTTTCTCTTTCAGAAAAATATTCAAGTCCCAGGTGGATCAAACCAAAGGATCATTTAACAAGTAAATTTTACATAATTTGCTCAATTTCAATTTTCATGTTAAAAAAAGCAGTGAAACAATTGAACTGAGTGGTACTTGGAAGATTACAGCTTGTTGAATAACATAAATAATTCAATCAAATATAAGTATTTTATTTTCTTGTGAGCATTTGTAAGAAGCTATCTTCTAGATACTGGTCAGATCAAAAACATCAATGAATAATTAACACACAAATCATAGAGAATACTTCCTAACCAGGAATAATGATTCAATTGCAAAACAAAGCAGACCCAAGCATAAACTTGATCTGTAACTCATCATAGTAGAGACTCAAATATTAAAAAATTCGTAAGGGTTCCGCGGAACCCAGTGTCTCGCCTACTTTTGCTGTTAATCACAGGCTCAACAAAAATGAGGAAAAAAATTAATAGAAATATTCCTCTCTATACTATCTTTTGATTGTAAGTAGCTTCTGTCCAAGTTTGGTAAAAATCCAGGATAGTTTATGAATCTAATAAATGTTTTAAAAACTTAAACTGCAGACTGTATGTAATGTTAACTGGAAGAAAAACTAAGTCCATTTATAAGTAAAATATGTAAAAAATGGAACAAAATTTTAACAAAATTTCCTTCTAGATACTAGCTTTTAATCATAAACAAGCTTCTGTCCAAGTTTGGTACAAATCCAGAATAGTTTAAGAAAGTTGTTAAAATTTTAAAAACTTTAACCACAGAGTGAATGTAATGTTAACTGGCAGAAAAACTAAGTCCATTTATAAGTAAAATACGGAAAAAATGGAATTTTTTTTTACAAAATTTACTTCTGGATACTATCTTATGATCATAAACAAGCTTCTCTCCAAGTTTGGTAAAAATCCAGGATAGTTTAAGAAAGTTATTAAAATTTCAAAAACTTTAACCACAGAGTGAATGTAATGTTTCCTGGCAGAAAAACTAAGTCCATTTATAAGTAAAATACGGAAAATATGGAATTTTTTTTTTACAAAATTTACTTTTGAATATTATCTTATGATCATAAACAAGCTTCTGTCCAAGTTTGGTAGACATCCAGGATAGTTTAAGAAAGTTATTAAAATTTCAAAAACTTTAACCACAGAGTGAATATTTGTGGACGCCGCCGACGACGACGACGACGACGACACCGACGCCGACGGAATGTAGGATCGCTATGTCTCGCTTTTTCGACAAAAGTCGAAGGCTCGACAAAAATCAACTCAATATGTGAAGGCCTTTAGGAAAGAAGTCTGTATAACTGTTAATTTCACAAATTTTCCAAGACCAAAGCCTGTAATTTCGACAAAAATCAACGCAGTGGAACCAAACGTAAACTCATCTGTAATTCATGATAGTTGACTTGCATTCTAAAAATCATCTTTGTGGCGGGGCCATTAAAAAATCTTATTACAATGTACTATAAACTGCATAATTTAGAAACAATAAATACAATATTATACTGACTATTTCACACGAAAAATCAAAATGAGAAGTGTTCATGGGGAAACAATATATTTTTTCCCATTCCCTTCAAAAAGCATAAAAATGGGGCCTTTTATGGCTAACTATACAGTACAGGTTTTTCTCATTGTTGAAGACTGTATGGTGACCTAAAGTTGCTTACATGAAAGTCTTTTGGACTCTGGTGGATATTTGTCTCATTGGTAATCATGCCACATCTCCTTATTTTTATAAAGAATATAAGGTCATGTAAACCATGAACATGAATATCTAAAAATTCCAAATTGACTGTTAGACTAACAAGAGTGATTAGGTACCAATGTTTTAACTTATTCTGCACTGTATCGTGATATTGATGATGCCAAGAGGGCAATCAAAAGTTTTATATGACGCAAATTTCAAAGGCATGTTTTACGTTGATTTATTTATTGATTTGTTGCTAAACATCCAGATGGGCAAATGTTAAGAAATATCATGACGAGTGGGTGTATCTGAAAAGTATCTACTACACCAATGAAATCATCGAATATTGGTATCCCATGAATAATGATGAATCCACAGTAGTAGAGCAGAAGGAAAGAAAAACATGAAAATTACAGTCTAAAATTCTGCTTGAAAGTGAATGAAAACCTAAACAGAAAAATATAGATGTTGAAGTGTCATTGATGCCACAGCGTGTGCAAAATCTGAGTCTAGCTTTGCAAAATTTGATACAGGCTAGGCATAAAGAACAGATTAGAGTACAATAAAACATTACAGTATATGCTATTCAATGCAATAAAAGGAAAAAAACATTGCATGTCAGAGATACAAATTGGATACAGAAAAGGTCATATTATCTCTTAACCTTGAAAAGGGATATAATCCAACTATTTGATCCTTCACAAAATTTGTTTTACAGTAGTGCCCTAAAATTCTCATTTAACAAAAAAGATTAAGATCTTAAATGCACAGCAAAGACATTAAAATTCAGACAATAATTGCTGTATTGTGTAATTTGCACATTTTAACAGTTAAAACCTGATCACAATCTTTGAAGAATTCTCTGATTTCTTGTCATTTTCCATTTCCTTCCTTTAAAAATGGGGATACTATTCAATGAAGCAATTATAAACCCCCTTTGATTATTACTATTTGCATTTAAATGAGCACTTGGGACATGGATAAAACTGCATTCTTTGTGCATTTGTTTTTAGCATTTCCAATTAATTTTAACAGCAACCAATTCAGACTTAAAGACTTTTGATATTTCTTTGTCTATAAAAAAAAGTAAATGTTAAAATATATACAGCTTGATTATGCACCCAATATGAATAATTTTTATTAACAGAATCATTTCTCAAAGTACTTGTAGAAAGCATCTAAATCTTTAAGAAATGGTAATCATGTTTGTTGCATTTAAAAAAAAAAAATTGTGGAGGGGGGAGGGAAGAGGATAATTCAGGGGAAATAACCTAATTTTGAAACAGATTCTAATTGGTATTTAAAGGAAAAGTTCCATCTCAGTTCATGTGATGATAATTCAGATAATTCACTATAGCCTTCGTCAGATTTTTACAAATTGATTTATATTCTAAAGCATAAAATTTTGATATATTTATCTCTCCTTTCCCATGTGCAGGGGAAAAAAGTGAAATTTTAGTATCAATAAGGAAACAAACGTACAAGACCTTCTAATGAAATAAACAGAATGTACAAACACTATGGCAACCAACAGAATATGTTCTTCATTGTTTTCAATATCTATGATATTTTTCCAATCCAGTAATGACAGAGTACACCTAAAGACCTTAATTTCACACCAACATCAATTATGTCTCACACCTCTTTTCAGGAAATATAAAATTTTAAAACGATAAAGACATTTTGACGGCCTGACATCATTAGAAAATATTAACATTTACGGTTAGTGATCATTGTTTCTTGGTGGATAAAAACTTGTTGTTGACACCAAAGATCCAGAGTCATTAAATAGTCATTGAATTCTCCTCAACTTTTAAATTAATCACAATTTCAAATTTCACCCTTTTGATGCATTTTTTCACCATCAGAATATTAAATTTGAAAGGGTGAAAATATCTATTAAAGGTCACTCATTGAGATAAAATTAAAAAAACTGAATAATGATACTTTATCAATGTACATAAAAAAATATCAAAATTACTTAATTAATGTATTGAAACGTACATTTTCTTTTTTAATAGTTCGCAGAGGGAAATTATCAAGCGTCATTCAAAAATGTCTTTTTTTTATTAACTTAACATTTATTTCATCTGTATGGCCTACAATCCATAAGAGATCTTGCATTGATCTTTCCATGAAATTTGGACACAAAGTTAATTTTGTTATGTGCTGAAGGAATATGCAAAAACTAAAAACCCTTCATGACCTACTTTTCCAAATAATTCTATTAGATTTTGACACGTTTGAGGAAAAACACACAATTTCATATTTCAATACTGTTCCAGAAAAAAAATACAAGACAAAAGATATTTTTATCAAATGTTTGTTAAATTTTTCCTTACAGTTTACAGGCATTTAAATTAGTTCTTTTTCTGTGAAATCATGCAATCATTGGTAAGAGAAACCCATAGACAATTTCCTGCCACTACAAATGCTACATAATAAATCTTGAAATTTGTGGTCTTGATTTATAACATACATGTCAAAAAATAAATTTGTGTAGAGAAATGAAAAAATTATTAGAAACCTAAAGTTCCAATCCAACTTCGTCAGGTAAAATTAACGTTAGAAGGTTTTGGCTATTCTGTGTATATAAATAATAATAAATTGTGGTATGATTGCCAATGACGACAACCCTCCACCAGAGACCAATGTCCCTTTGAGTCAGTTAAATCATCAAGTATTTATACATCCCTGGTATTTCAAGTTTCGGATTTGAGCATTCCTGATGAAGGTAAATCCAGATAGGTACTTCCGACGCACAGGATTTATAACATGTTGAAGACCCATTTGTGGTCTTCGGCTGTTGTCTGCTCTTTGGTCGGGTTGTTGTCTCTTTGACATATTCCCCATTTCCATTCTCAATTTTATTTTTATTGTTGATGATAGAAAAAAAACAGTCTTTATTTGCCTCCAAGCAAACTTATGTGAAGGCATAGTGACCTAAGAGTGTTAACTTCTACATCATTTGGTTTCTGGTGGAGATTTGTCTTATTGGCAATCATACCAAATCCTCTTATTTTTATATTAATAGATAACGCCTGCTTTAATAAACAGCACATTTGTTTTCCCTTGCAATTGTGACAATTTTCACACAACCAATTTGATTAAGTTGTGAATTTTCTACTTATTTTGGATTCCATTCATTAGCAATGTTGTAAAAACAAAAAGTAAATTTGGATGCTTTATTATCTGCTCCTGTTACTGAATAAAATTCCTTAAAACCATGTTCCTTACATTCTAAAATTCAGATTCCAGCCATGAAGGAGTGTATGTTGTACAGTTTGACATTTTATTGAGAATAATATTTTAGTTCTTCCTAGAATGAATAATCATTGTAGTTTTTGTCTTGCAGTACTGAACTGAGAGGCAGATTTAGATTAAACCATCTAAAAAATGTTTTAACCAGAGGTTAACTGAGACAACTTCATTCCAAGACATCTTTCAACATAAAATAAGGGAAATTGCATTTGTATTAAAAAAAAAAAGGAAAAGTTTTAGTACAATGAGCAAAGGTTTTTAAAAGTACATTACTTGCATCCTGTGAAATTTTATTTTTCATATGATATTCTCAGACTCTGAAATCAATATGACAAAATTGTGGAAAAATTCAAAAATTTTGAGAAAAATAACAGCACTTCACAATATAGTTAATTTAAAAATAAACCAATCTATATTCAATAAATGTTTCGAGGTTTCAAAGTACTATTTCAGTATAATCCAGTATATGCAATAAAAACTTAATAAAATGATACAATAAAACTACTTATTATATAAAGTATTTTGCAAAAAAAATAAATATAACAATCTAGAACAATTTACCACATAACTATTACCTTTGTATGACAGTGATATCTAGTCCCTTTAATACTAAGGCTCAGGTAAAAAATGACGATAAACTTGTCAAAAACCGAGATGTCAGTTATCAAACTTTAGGTCATGTGACATTTCTGATCTTCCACTCATATCTTAAAATCTAATAACAATAAAATGAAAACACAGATGTTAAATGTTTTGCAATAAATTGAAAATTACAAATATTACTTTGAACATATAAAAATATCAATATTAACGGTATTTTCACACTCATGTGAAAAGTACTTTTTGTCATCATGTCTAGTAAATAGATCTTTTAACAGTTTTTCAATTCCAAATAATGACAAAAAGCCATTCTCACATAATTTAAGGCCTTTTGTCATTATTTAATATTTTTATTAATTAGGAGTAAATGGGTGCACTTTGTGATCCTTACTCAAATATGACCAGCTAAAATTCACACACAAAGAATTGGTTTCAACATAAATCTATATAGATGTATATATTTTTGCAATAAATTAAACTGTTTTTTTTTTTACTTCCAACTATATTCAAGTCATGATACAAACACGAAAGTCCACCAAAATCATACACAATTATTAGGAAATCACAGAAGAAAATATCTTTAAATATTTTTATTGACTATACCTGTTGATAAATTTGTCTGGTCTTCAGGTGCTCACTTCAATATATGAACAAAATTATTGTCTGCAAAAGAGATTAAGAAGTTGCATGTACCCCCTCTCTTAATTCAAAGTATCAAAACACAAGAAGCAAGGGTCTGACAGACTATCACATATGAAGTCAACATGTGTAGTAGTACCTGAGAAAAGTAATGAACTAACAGTATGACAAACAGACAAACATAGTGAATGCAATATAGCCCTGCTAGTGGGGGTTTATTATACAAATGCAACTAAATCATAAAGAACAATTACATTGACATTTCTTTATAGTGGGTCTCATTGCGGTCTAAGGGTGAAGCGGGATTGGCCAATTTTTTGTAAGCGTGACACATGAAAGTCAAATTATTGTGCTTGAAAACTGGAAATAAATTTGGCGGGACATGTGAAATTACAAGCGTTATTATTACAATGATAAGAGGGATACTGGAATCTGACAAAACAATAAGCGGGATCTGGGATCAGACCCCCCCCCTAATGAGACCCCCTTTATAGTAGTTTTAATTAAATTGTATATATCATTAATTCAAATCATCATTTTTTTTTCTGAGATTTGGATCTACAATTTTGTAACTGCAAAACTTATAACCAGTCACTCAAGTAGGAAATGAAGGCCGTAGGCTAAAATGTTGTTGAGTATAAGACTTATTACGGAGTATGTACTTAGATGTGCAACACGATAAGTACCACAAGTGGAGCAGGATCAGCTTACCCTTCCGGAGCACTTAAGATCACCCATGGTTTTTGGTGAGGTTTCTGTAGCTTTGTCTTTTGTTTTCTTTGTTGTGTTTTGTATACTGTTGTTATTCATTTGGTTGTTTTTCATTTTTTGCCATGGCGTTGTCGGTTTGTCATTGACTTATGAGTTTGAATTTCATACAAGGAAGGTCCTCTGATAAAACTTTGGTGAAATACCATGGAATCACTTATATTCATTCCTATCAATAACTTTCAAATATAGAGGACCTTGAACATCAAATCCTATCAGTATATAATGCTCCATGGAAAACTAGATTATACAAGTATCTTATGCTTATGTTTACGACATGATGAAGAAATTGGAAAAGTTTGGGTTGAGACATTGTTATTTGCATAATGGATGGACAGACACACATAAAAATTGTATTGTATGTTTTTTTAGAACTATGAAAAAAAAACATTGTTCACAGCAGATTTTACATCTATGATTTTGTTCGCATTATCAAAATTAAATAGGAAAACTTGTACTCTTCAGTAGTAGAAAAATATTAGGTAAAATGAAGACATTAACCTTTTGAAAAATAATGACATTAAAAATGATAATTAATAGTATTTTATAACAATACAAATTTTAATGTGGAAACACATCTTCAATTATGACTATATCGTTTGTCATGATGAACTGATCTATTATGATGCTGTTGTAATTAGGTAGTTTGTTTTCCTTGATGGATAATAAAATAACAAAGCTATAAAATTGAACAATATACTAATATGTAATGATTCTGTCAAGGAAGACAATATTTTAATGAATCTTTGATTAGGACTTAAAGAGTACAGTCAAGGTGTACGTAAGTTTGTCAATTGACATTGGTCTTTTTTATGGAAAGACTTCCGTTTGAACCCCTTCTGTTGACAGTATAAGCATATACATACATGAAGGGGGGGGGGGTTCAAAAGGAAGTCTTGCCTCTTTGATGAATATGTTCTTGATACAGGACTATGTTTTATTCCTGGACTCTGTTCTTCATATGTATTACTATGTAGGTATTGTCTTTAAGAATATCACAATTTTCCAACAACGATAATTCTTTGGTGTTATAATTTTTGGTCAATCACAATACACAAAACTGAGAAGTAAAAGGTATTGAATTGGATGTGCTCCTGGAATCTCTTTTCCTAATGAGTTTAAGAAGTCTATGATCAAACAGTTTCTATTGAACAATGATGACCACTTTAATGTCCAGATATGTGGACAGTAAATAAGTTATTCATCTATTCCTATAAATAAAAAAAATGAATATTTATGAAATGATAACTTTGCTCAAAATCGTTTATTTGCATGCTGACTGTTAATTTTATTTACATGTGATTGCAGATTTTGATATAAATCATCATTGTTTATTTTTAAGCTTTACTGGTGAGGGACTTTTATTTGGCGATATCTTTTTGTAAATGAGACAATATAATTGTATTGTAGCACACATGTTACATAGCCAAATCATGTCTACACAGTGAAAATAACTACTTTATGTGTTAGATTTAACACCTTGAGGAAATAAAACTAACCTTTCATAAACACCATCCAAAATACACTACTGAGAAGACGGGTAATTAAATTCTTCTGCTTTTCTTTAAAAATTGTTGGTCTTTAAAAACCTGTAATTTAATAACATAGAGAGTAAAACATATTATCAGATTTCAAACAAGATTTGGTGAATATTTTCAAATAAAACAACCCCTTATGGCATGGATCACATCCTTAATGATTGAAAAAACAAGCTCAGATGTCAAATACAAAAACTAATTAAACTGGGGAGATTTTCCTGTGCCGAAAGGCCGCATGTGTCAGTAACAAATGATACTGGTCCAACTCTGGTCATTATTCATAGGTTTATAGTGATAAAACTGTGACCTGAACCTAAAAGTATGACCACCCATCATTCACGATTGTCAACAAGAGTGTCGTGAGTCACACAGATGGTCCATATCTTTGAGGAATTTACTAATTCTGTCATCATTGGATACTGCTTTTTTTTACCTGAATATGACAATTTAATTTGTTTTACATCCTATATAGCTATAACATACATCTTACTTTACTTATGATAAAAGTCAACCTGCTAACTAGACAAAAAATAATATACAACTTCAAACATATGTACAGTAACCTCTAACTAATTGAAAGAGCAGAAGCACATTTATTAACTGGTACAGTGGAAATTATTCTTAATTATTTTATTTATAATTTGTTAGGTTTAAGTATATTAATATATGTTATTTTTGTTCATTTTTGTAACACAATTATATTATGCCTTGTTTCTTCTGATGGAATAGGGAGTGATGGTTGGTACTAAGGGGATGACAGATCTAGGTTAGAATAAACCTACAACGGCTGGTACTAAGGGGATGACAGATCTAGGTTAGAATAAACCTACAACAGCTGGTACTAAGGGGATGACAGATCTAGGTTAGAATAAACCTACAACGGCTGGTACTAAGGGGATGACAGATCTAGGTTAGAATAAACCTACAACGGCTGGTACTAAGGGGATGACAGATCTAGGTTAGAATAAACCTACAACGGCTGGTACTAAGGGGATGACAGATCTAGGTTAGAATAAACCTACAACGGTTGGTACTAAGGGGATGACAGATCTAGGTTAGAATAAACCTACAACGGTTGGTACTAAGGGGATGACAGATCTAGGTTAGAATAAACCTACAACGGCTGGTACTAAGGGGATGACAGATCTAGGTTAGAATAAACCTACAACGGCTGGTACTAAGGGGATGACAGATCTAGGTTAGAATAAACCTACAACGGCTGGTACTAAGGGGATGACAGATCTAGGTTAGAATAAACCTACAACGGCTGGTACTAAGGGGATGACAGATCTAGGTTAGAATAAACCTACAACGGCTGGTACTAAGGGGATGACAGATCTAGGTTAGAATAAACCTACAACGGCTGGTACTAAGGGGATGACAGATCTAGGTTAGAATAAACCTACAACGGCTGGTACTAAGGGGATGACAGATCTAGGTTAGAATAAACCTACAACGGCTGGTACTATGGGGATGACAGATCTAGGTTAGAATAAACCTACAACGGCTGGTACTAAGGGGATGACAGATATAGGTTAGAATAAACCTACAATGGCTGGTACTAAGGGGATGACAGATATAGGTTAGAATAAACCTACAACGGCTGGTACTAAGGGGATGACAGATCTAGGTTAGAATAAACCTACAACGGTTGGTACTAAGGGGATGACAGATCTAGGTTAGAATAAACCTACAACGGCTGGTACTAAGGGGATGACAGATCTAGTTTAGAATAAACCTACAACGGCTGGTACTAAGGAGATGACAGATCTAGGTTAGAATAAACCTACAACGGCTGGTACTAAGGGGATGACAGATCTAGGTTAGAATAAACCTACAACGGCTGGTACTAAGGGGATGACAGATCTAGGTTAGAATAAACCTACAACGGTTGGTACTAAGGGGATGACAGATCTAGGTTAGAATAAACCTACAACGGTTGGTACTAAGGGGATGACAGATCTAGGTTAGAATAAACCTACAACGGCTGGTACTAAGGGGATGACAGATCTAGGTTAGAATAAACCTACAACGGTTGGTACTAAGGGGATGACAGATATAGGTTAGAATAAACCTACAACGGCTGGTACTAAGGGGATGACAGATCTAGGTTAGAATAAACCTACAACGGCTGGTACTAAGGGGATGACAGATCTAGGTTAGAATAAACCTACAACGGCTGGTACTATGGGGATGACAGATATAGGTTAGAATAAACCTACAACGGCTGGTACTAAGGGGATGACAGATATAGGTTAGAATAAACCTACAACGGCTGGTACTAAGGGGATGACAGATCTAGGTTAGAATAAACCTACAACGGTTGGTACTAAGGGATGACAGATCTAGGTTAGAATAAACCTACAACGGTTGGTACTAAGGGGATGACAGATCTAGGTTAGAATAAACCTACAACGGTTGGTACTAAGGGGATGACAGATCTAGGTTAGAATAAACCTACAACGGTTGGTACTAAGGGGATGACAGATCTAGGTTAGAATAAACCTACAACGGCTGGTACTAAGGGGATGACAGATCTAGTTTAGAATAAACCTACAACGGCTGGTACTAAGGAGATGACAGATCTAGGTTAGAATAAACCTACAACGGCTGGTACTAAGGGGATGACAGATCTAGGTTAGAATAAACCTACAACGGCTGGTACTAAGGGGATGACAGATCTAGGTTAGAATAAACCTACAACGGTTGGTA